AATGATCATCTATGTATCCAGAGTGAAAATGATCTTCTTAAAAATATAATACAAAGCTAATCTGTTATACAGATAGCATAAAATGAAGATCTAAGCTAAAAGAGATCTAAAAAGAGATAACCCAATCAAAAGTGTTACACTATATTTTTAGAATAAAATTAATCTTTATAAAAAGTAATATAAAAGTTTATCTGTTATATAAATAATGCAAAATAAAAATCTAAACTTAGAAAGATAATTCAATCAAAATTATTATAATATTTTATTATTATTAATTTAGATAATTATTATTTTTAATTAATATTTTTTTTAATATTTCTTTTATATTTTTATTTATTTTTTATTTATCATTATAAATTAGTATAAAAAGATTTATATTTCAAATAAATATTAATAGATTATTTTTTCAAAATAAAATTTTAATTCTATTTTATTTAATTAAGTTATTAAATCTTGAAATTTATTTAAATTTTTATTATATATTTTTTATAAAAAAAGTTTTTGCTAATAATAACTTTTTTAATTATTATTTTTGAAATTTTACTATATAAAATTTAATTATAATTAATATAAAAATTATATAGTAAATTATTTAATTGCTCAACTTTGAATTATAATATTTTTATAATTACTAATTCAATTTTTATAAAATTTAAAATATATATTTATTAAATTTAGAATAATTTACTTATATAATTTAAAATTCTAATATTAGTAATAATATCTAAAATATTTTTTTTTTAAAAAAAATAATTTTATTTTGATTTTTTTTTTAGTAAAATAATACTTTATTTATTATTAAATTAAAATATAATAGAATAGTTAAAATAATATAAAAAGTTAATTTAGATTACTTTTTATTTATTATAAAAAATTTATAAAAATTTAAATAATTTTTATTAGAAGCAATTATTAATTTTTATATTAAAATACAAATCTTTTTGTACTAATTCATAATATAAATAATTTTTTAATTTATATTCTTTATTATTCTTTTAATATTATTTTTATTATTTATTAATATTATTTTGAATTATATTTTTTATTAACTTTAATTTTTTATTAAATATTTAAAGTTCTTGAAATATTTTATAAAAAAATTTTTTATTTTCAATTTAATAATAATATATATTTAGATTATACAAATTAATTGGATTTATTTATCTTAAAATTATAATATACAGATTATTTAATCTGAATAATATTATTTTGATAAGTTAATAATAATTATATAATATTTTTTAATAATTAAATATTTTATATACAAATTCTATATTTTAAAGTATTAGATAAATGCATTATATATATAGTTGTATTTCTAAAGTTTATATTATTTTAAAGTTATTATAATTACATTACTTTTATTTATAATATAATCAATAATAATATATATATAATGTATATAATTGTTTGAAGTAATATATATAAGAGAAAAATGATCATAATATATATAATATATATTTAATATATGTAAATATTATTTTTCTTTTTTTTCTTGCACTTTAAATATTCATGTATTTGTTATATTATTAAAATAAACCTGTCTTTCCGACATACCTGTCAAAAAAATTGACGGTAATTTTTAATGGTAAAAAGATCATTAAAAGCAATTCTCAATAGTAATCGACTCACGGGGATTTAGCTCAGTGGTAGAGCAATTGACTGCAGATCAATAGGTCACCGGTTCAATCCCGGTAGTCCCCTCGAAAGATTAGAATTTAGCTAGGATAATAAGATTTATCAAATTTTTTGCAGCAATTCAAAATTCTTCAAAATACACGTGACGCTTTAGATAATCAACATCGATCAAATTTTCCATTGTCACAAAAAATGTCTCTTAGACTACCATTTACAAAGCTTGTTCACCATCCCACAAAAAATTTTTTGATTCTCTGTTTTGGCGGTCATTTTCAGGCAGTAGATACCAGGTATGTTTCTTTCGCTTTTTCAGACATTATCTTATATTTATTAAAAGAGACATTATTTTATTTATTAAAAAAAAATAAAATTATTTTTAAAGTACTGGAGCATTGATAGCAACAACACACTCGTTACATTCAATAAAAACTATTACGAATGCTTTTACAATCCCAGAAAATAGACTAGCAGAACCAGTAAACTTACTCCCTAGCCCTAAACATGCCATAAATAGTGAAGAAGCGCATACAGGACTTATTCGTAGTATCGCGTTTAATGCGCAAGGCACCTGTATGGCTTCAACTGACGAGGATAAAGTTCTAAAGGTTTGGGAATTGGAAGAAAAACAATGGAAACTTAAAAATTCCAGGTAAACGTAAAAATTGAAATTATTATAATAAATGCACAAATATTTTATGAGTAATCGTCGTCGATTTTGTTGTAGAAAAGATCAGTCGTGAAACGTGTAGTTTCTCTTGCTTTTGATCAGACAGACGCCAAGATTATAGCGGCCGATAAATTTGGTGATGTTTACAGGTAAAATTTAAAATTATACGTTTAAATGCCATTTATGTTTTTTCAATGATATTTAGTTGATTGGTTGTTTATTGGGTGAGAAGCTTTCCTATAGATTTACTTGAGAATAATGTCAAAGGATCTTCACAATTACTTTTGGGACATGTTTCAATGGTTACAGATATGGTCTGCTCACATGATTATTTGTTTTATTCGGCATTATCGAGAATTTCAAAACTGATTTTTTATATGTTTAGGCGCTTACACCGACCAACAAATACATAATAACATGTGATCGTGATGAGCATATACGCGTCAGTCGATACCCAAACTCATATAACATTGAATCATTTTGTTTAGGGCATACACAGTAAAGTATTTTTTTTAAAAAAAATATAATGAGTATAGAAATAATACCATAATTAATTAAATATTTTAATTTTTTAGTTTTGTCTCGAAACTACATATAATTCCATGGGCAGCTGATTTTCTAATATCAGGCGGTGGAGATGATTTTGTCGCATTATGGGATTATGTCCATGGCACTCTATTGCAAACTTTGGATATTAAACAATTTGTTGTTATTCCACGACAAGAGGTACTTATGATTGCTAATTATTCACCCCAATATATATACTAAAGAACAATTTTTTTAGAGTAAGTCAATGACTGTGGATAATGAAAGAATAACGCTGGATAATGAAACAACAATAGTGGATGAAGATAAATCTAAATTGGAAGAAGAAATTAATGAGGAAGGAATTGCAGTTTCAGCAATCACCAGTAGCGCCGTATCACAACATATCGCTTTAATAATAGAAAAGTTAAGAGTGTTCTTATATTTTGAATATTATTTTTTTTTTGCTATTCTGTTTCTGAAACTTAAATTTTACAAGATTCCCTGGAATAATAATTTTGAGATGGGATCAGAGTCGCTTCGTTTACCATAATACATTAGAATTAGAAAGTGATCCCCTAGATATTGCATATGACCTTTTTGGTAATTTGTGGGTATCGATTACAACCTCAGGGAATGACAAAGAAAAGGAGCGACCAACAATTTTAATAAATTTGTTCAGAAAAACTGTTAATGATCACGAGGTAAAATTAATTATATATTAGATTTTTAAATTCATTATATTTTGACTATCCAATATTTATCGTAAATTTGTATAGTATGATAAAGCGGCAAATGATGATCCATTAGTAAAAGAAATTAATCAATATGGATCGATGTTAGGTAACAAAGAAAAATAGTAACCCAATGACATTTTTCTTGTACGCACATACTATTTATTAATCATATCGTTATATACATAAAAGTTGACGCTTTACCAGACTTGTATCCAACTGGTCAACTCCGTAAAGCGGGGACTGACTGGCGCATCCAACGTAAAAATCAAGATGAAGATTACGGTGATGATGCAAGTAATTTGGAAGGTGATTCTGCTTCCTCCTTATCAGATTCGATCAAATCTAAAAGAAAGAAGATCAAGACAAAGTAATTTATTGACCGGCGCTAATGTTACACACGTATTACAAATAAATACGTTCTATGAAAGATCTTGCTTAGATAAAAAGTCATGTGATATATTTAGTGGATATCAATAGATGATCTACGCGTTTCATGTATATCATATAATTAAACGTATCATTATTTGCGGCCAATACATTTGTATATTATTATTGTATTCATAAAATATTTAATCTTGCATTATACTTTACCTAAAATCACAAAGAAAGAGATGCCACCAATCTTATCCAAATCGCTCATGTATGCATACGTAATTACTAATGATGAGATTTTATTTTTATCTCATTAATAAAGATTAATCAAGTTCGAGTAGCGATAGACATCATAGAAGTTTCAAAATTGTTAAATTCAAATTATCTTAGTTTGGAAAATTTAAAATAGATAATAATAGATTAAGTATGCTTGGAATAATATCAAATTTTCTTTTTAGAATAATATAATGTCATAGCATGCATCATAAATTACAATAGAACCAACTAGAACGTGATCGGTGAGAATAATGCGAGATATAGGAATAATAACGATGAACAATAACGGGACACAGGGTCCAATGTAACCTCAATAATTGTCGCCAATATATGCCCACACATGACGCACACAAAGATTTCATTAATTGTTTTGTGCAGTTACCATTATGTAACAGCAAACTATTGATACCATTGATACCGTAACAGTTAAATGTTGTTTTTGTTTCCGGAAAAGGCAAACATCAAAACATTTTTACGATATTCGGTGAACCCTTCTTGGCGGAACATGAATGGTTTAGTCGCTCATTTTGTTTTTATGCGCGAGAACTGTTCCATTAAATTAATTCTGTTTATAGCACAAGAAATCGAACATTAGAAAATCTTTAATAACAAATACGCACACACTGATCGCTTAATATTGTTCTGAGACAGTTTATTATTCTCTTGATTGTGCAACGAATTTTCCTTCTAAATCAAGAAATTAGAATCATTACTTAATCTCCGAATAAGGGTTCTATGCGACGGCACCGTAAGCAGTCGGCTGTGATGTTCGTTTTGTACAGCATGAATAAATAAGATTGATTTGTGGTAAAGATTTACACACCATGGCAGTCAATTTGTTACGCAAATTTCTTATTGTTATTATTTATTTATTTATATATTGACTATACAATTATTAATTAATTAAACCAAATAAAGCATAAACCAAACTAAAAAAATACTTCTATACAAAAAAAACATATCGATATTACTATTATTATACTTATTATTGTTAAAGCTGTAAAATATTTTTGGGTTAGAAAAGTCAGGATTGTCATTGAAAAAATATGGCGGAATCTAAAAATTTTTGTCGTCTACATTAGTATTAATTAATTATTAACATTATTACAATAAAATATGAGGATTAATTATTATTATTATGATTATTATTATGATTATTAGTAAAAAGAGGAATATATGACTCTAATTGGAATTCTCTTTTTGTTGGAATATGGATGAAATGATTGTTTATTAAGCAAATTTCTGATTGTTCTTTGCGAGGTTTTTATAAGTTTAAAGGCCGAATTGGGTGATGGTATTTGCTGCGGAGAAAGAGGCGAAGTTGGGCTTGGAAGAGGCTCATAGTGCTGATTGTTCATTGTGGGCGATGTTGGACTAACAATTTCCTCATTCAATTTGAAAACGGAAAATCCACCCGTGGGAGAGTAACCACCCTGATTTTTACTTTTATCATCAGGCATAAAGAATTGCGGCAAGCTTGTAGGTCGTCGCCAAAGTTGCTCTTCAATTGAGATGCCATTTCTCAGCACTGCAGCCTTATTTCCAGATGCGCGTACCATATCATCATGCACAAGTTCCGAAACACCAGCCAACACCGAAAAGAAATAACGAACTTCTTTTGTCTCGTTTCTCCAACGTTCGCCAGCAAATCGTGAAATATCAATAAAGTCCACTTTTGGGTTTGTCCGCTGAATTATATTCTGTGCCTCTTTCCTGTACAAAATGTATGCATTTTGCGGGGTCTTAATCGGCTTTTGCAAATTGGGATTCTTGGTGGGGGCCAGAATTTTGTTCAGTGGAAGTGTTAAGGGGGGAATTGCGATTTTTTTATCGATGATTTCACTTTGGATTCTTGCGGCTATGCATTTTGCCCATGTGTCTGCCCATGCCCAAGGATTCTCTTGTTGTTGGTGATTATGGTGTTGGTGGTGTTTTTGAGTTGTGTTGGTCATTGAATCTTTATTTTTTTTATGTTTTTTTAGCTTTATTTTAATGTCCTTGAACTTAGATATTAAATTTATTTTTAATTATATTATTATATTATTAATTAATGAATTTCGTTTTTTTCTTTATGTAAAAAAGAAAATTATTTCGAAAATATCAAAAAGTTGTTGCTTATAAATAATTTTCCATCTAAAAATAACACGAACACAGCATCCCGACTATTATAGATATAAAAAAAGTAATTGGTGTTCTTGCTTTTCCTTTTGCAAATTTCAATGACGATTGTATGACAGATTTCCGATGAATTGATTGGTTTACAAATGAAAGGAAATATGACTTTTGATTGTCGTTGTTCGAAATTGTGCGTGTGAGTGTGTGCGCATTTAATGTCCAAAACGAACGCCTAAAACTATAGCCTATCCTCGTACGCATACAGTTGTTTCTGTTTGTTTGTTCTTTTGCACTTCTATTCTCAGATGTGTGCAATCTAAAATTCCGCAAAATTTCATCTATTAAATTGAAAGTTATAGTGAACAATAAGGAAAATCATTTTCTTTCGAGCAATATTAGGAAAAAAAGAATAAGATTTTCATTAAGATCAAAAAGACAAAGTTCATTTGTATTGTTTATTGTATCTTCAAATATACACAATGATATCTTGATAATGGGGTTTTAAAGATTCGAAACGAACCTTAATTTCAAAAGTTTTGGCCCAGATTATTATTGTCTTGTTTTGAAACAGCACCTGAACCTGAACCTGAACTTAATTAGCAGAACGTGTGTTGCGAACGATTTCATAAATTATTTTTTATTACGCCATGTGTAATCTCCTATTTCTGTGTGTGACAAGTGGTCATTATATTCCACGGGGGTTTCTGTTTTTCAAAAAAAAAATATAAATAAGGAGATGAGATTTTGCCCGAATATAAGGAATACTGTCGGTAAACTTTCCATTTATTTGATATTGATGTATTGGCTGCAGTCTTACCGGGAGTGCCACATTCATAATTAGAAATATCTTCAGACTTTGAATTCATGAATACTGGTAAACATTAAAAATTACGGATGTCCAAATGGCGTACTTCACATAAAACTCGTCCCAATATGGTAAATCATTAATGGACATATGTATGTTCTTGGCGAAAATTATACAGAACACAAAATTTTAATTATATTCCACGACTTTATAAATACTAAATGACATTATGCATTGATGCTGTACACTACTAAATTTATTATGATTAGCGGCGGTGACAAAATGATTTCGCCTTAATTTTAAGGAGTCAAAAAAGAGGGTGGGACTGTTTGTTTTTATTGATGTAATCAGCTCTTTAATTTATTTCATTAAATCACTCTGTAACTCAATGAACCAGTAAGCGAGCGATAAATTTATCAGCCAACGTTTGAAAAGATAGACCACAGAAATTTCAAACATTTCTGCATTTAAATTTACACGTGAACCTTCTAAATAAATCGGTCGTTTTTTTATTGGTGTTGCATGAAATTATGCAATAATTCATTTATTGAAGAGTGTCCATACATATTTTCTTTTGTTAACATAATCCTGAAAAAATTTATCAATACAACTTTTAAAAATACACGGAGATCTAGGTTGAAACAATAAATACAATACAATAGATATATAACATGAATGAAATGTCATGTCAATAATATTTTACAAATTTTTTTTCCAACGTAAAAATGAAATGTTCATCAAATTGAAAGGAAGCTTTCTTTATCGAAATAAAAAAATTTTTGATTAAGCTAGCTGATTAGTAATAATATTCTACATAGATGGCAAACAAGATGGTGACGACATAGTTGAACAACAACGCTGAGAACAGAAGACAACTTTTATTGGTGCCGTTCGCTTTCGATTAAAATACGGATGACATGATGATGCCGTTCGTATCCTGGAAGAGAAAGGAGTTTTTTGTATAAGATGGAATGCTGAGCGAGTCGATGGTATTATTATTGGTGATGACTCAATAACATGCTCGGAATAATTATTTATCTGTAGTAACGAGGTATTCATCTTTTCTTGTATGTCTTGAATTGAGAATTCTCGAAAGAGACGGTTGACAAATTCCAACATTTCTTCTTCTTGTTGTTGTTTTTGACGATGTATTTCATGATGCATTTGATCTTTAAGGTGTGAAATTATTGTGCTATATGTTTCCATTTTCATTATTGGTTGGTTGGTTTTAATCATCATTAAATCGTTTCTATTCTTATATAAGATGTTGGAATATTGTAACGTGACTGTTTTTATATTTTTAAAACAGACAAAGAAATTTTGATAGTAGCGCAAGATACTTGAACGAGATTACTTGATTGCAAGATCTTTTTTAGAATTTTAATGAACTTTGAAGATATACCGGTACTAATGTGTTTTTTTATATGTGATGTGTCTCCGTACGTAAAAAATATCGTGCGCCAACCAGCTGATTAATAGATTGTGCCAGCAGTTTTAGCCATCAAAAGACTTTTTATGCCATTCAAGTGAAAATACTAAACGGATTGTTTGTTTCAGAGTATTTATATGCATGAAAATCATCTTATACATTTCGGATTTGTGCCAGATTATATTTAGTGTTAGATCGACCCTTGTTCTGTCATGATGCAATGCAGGTCATTGAAAAGTTGATTGACAGGGTCTTGTTTTGTGTAATGGAAAAGAAGGGTTTATTACATTTGTTTTGATTAGTAAAAGATACGAATCAATCTGGCTTTTTTATGAGTTTAAAAGAAACCTGTTGTTCTTAATCGAAGTTCAAATATGGATGTGTATAGCATTATCGATATTTACAGAAAACAACGTGTAATTTCATTATCATGTCTAAGCCATTCAATCATCGAACCTGTTGCCTAAATGAAGGCACCGTTTCTTTTGAGTCTTCATGAATAAAATTATAATTTCCAAGTAAAGCGTTGTATTGATAATATGCAAGATCCTTCTTTTTTATCGTCATTGTTTTTACGCCATTATGCATTTCTATCATAAACAAATCCACTTTAGAAGCTTAGACTTTCGGTTTTTTTTGGAGTATCGGCATAGCCTGGTCTGAGTCATGGGAGACAAATTCCAAGTATGGTTTCTTTGATTCCACTTTTTCATTATATCATATTGAGATGTGTAGCATACAAAATTTTTCGCAAAAAAAAAAAATACGCACATGATGCTTCACGAAGACAAAGAGCAATTACAAATTTCTCATTTGTATAATGTGATGTTCATGCTTACAAAAATTCTTCTGACGCAATCTTTTTTTGAAACACATGTTTATTTTATTATGCTAAATCTAATGTGAGAAACGAGACACACATGAGTTTCTGTTTTGTTCAAAATTTTTTATTTAAAGGAACCGAGTCTTATCGTTATCGTTAAAACGCAATCAGTCATAAAAAACTAGTTTTTAAACAAGTTTTAAATGAATTAAGAACTATTAAACTTATATAGCGATAGATATTGATACTGATATGCAGTAAAAAAAACTATCAAAATTACCTGTTTGTCTTCATGTTAAATAATATTTTACCCACGTAAACAATGTTTTTTTTTTGCAAAGCAATAAAGGAATAACGAGTTAGCACAAATAAATTAATCACCGCAACACTGTACAAGTGAACGTTGAAAATAAGTTTCATGGGCGCCGTTATGCATTTTGATAGAATTTTCTTGCAGAATTTCTAAAAACCTCCGTTTTCTTACACTAAGTATGGAAATTTAAGTAGCAGAAATTTGATCCCCAGAAGATTGAAATTTCTCAATAACGATAAGATTCAGTTTTTTATTATTATGTAAGCATTACCTTATTCTCCTTATAAGGAAGCACATAATGTTTACCGGAATAATGAATATAGCGTATTAATTTGCTTTTAATCATTTTACATAATTATTATTGGAACATTTGGTTGTCTACTGACAATAATTCAAAAGAGCAAAATAATAATATAATTTTAATATGTTTTGAAGAATGATGAACTAGTAAATTAAACCTGTCGTTTCATCAGAAATTTGAGCAAATTCAATTACGTAACTTGTTCCAGAAATATCTTGTTGCGTATCAGACAAAGAAACAAAGCTTATTTGAAAGTTTAAAAATGGTTAGAACTAATTCTATGGACTTGGAATCCATCTAACGCTTAGAGGATACCAAATCCATTCTAGGAATATAAATTCTTTTCATATTCACAATAAAATTTCCATATCGATATCGATATTAATTAGATACGTAATGATAATTAACATTATTCTATCTCCACTCAATATCAAACAATTATTTATATGGAAATCCGTCAGCATTATTTTTATATCTACAAACATATACATTTATAATGATAAATACTAAAAGGATTATATTAAAAGCAAAGAGTCAACGAATAACTTTTAACGTCTTGACTGTTCACTTTAATTGGCAAATTAACATCAATTTCTATACATGTACATGCGAGAATCATGATGTCTGATTTCTTATTTTTTGTTTTGGTCATGAAGACAATGCTGTTTCTATTACTATGTGATTGACTCAATTCATTATTTAGGTACGATACTTATAATTAATACTATCATTTTTCAGGGAAAATACACGTAAGAATAAAAATGTTTACCTTTTCAGGAATCGTCCAACAAGCAGGACTTTTGGATTTCATTTATTCTCTGTTATCTATATTAACTTTCTTTTTCTATTTTATCTTTTTTCACTATTGAAATAACTTTATAATTTAAAAATTGATTTAGTTATTTTGGTAATTGAATTAAGGTCCGGAATACTATATGTGCATACTAAGTTTATTTGATGATAAATATATTTTCAAATGACAAAGCTTTCATTAACTAAATTAACTTAACAATTCAAAATTATCAGATAAAAAACTTCATTATCATTATAAAAATATTGCTGTCAGGTAAAAAAAACAAATGTGCACTCATTCTGTACCCAATCTTTAGATTTAGTCAACGAATTTTTTTTTATTAATAATGATCCAAACTTCAAATAATACTGAACTTCCTTTTTACATTTGCAGTTTTTCTTTGGTATTTAAAGGCTAGTTGTAAAATAATAGCTTTTAGACAGAAAATTTGATACCGAGGATCGAATGAAATGCCAGAATATATAAATATGTACATTTATCTAGCTGCATTACTTCATTCTTGTGCTGAGAGAACATAAGGAGTTAGCTTATCGAATGCGACAGTATAATAAAAAAAGATAATGGTATAGTTTTATAACTTTACAATTTTTTCGATAATCCCAGTTTATTGCATTAGGTATATGTAATAAGAAGGGTTTTGCCCAACATCCCGACATTCAAAATCCCGATAGTCCATAATCCATACAGTCAAAATCCCGAATGCTTTAAGATCCCGACAGTCCAAGATCCCAAGTAGCTCAAAATTCCGAATGGTACAAAGATTCTGACAGCCCAAGATCCCGAAATCCAAAAATCAGCATACGACACCCAAAATCACGAATGGCCAGAGTAAAGGTAACGGTTAGGTCAGAGGACAAGATTATATATAAGATTGCCGACCAGATATTTTTAATTAGTATTTCAAGACAGATTTAGGCATCAGTTTCCTTACAATATTCATTTTCATATCTTGTGTCGGAATCTTGTACCGTTCGTGATCTTGGACTACCGGGATGTTGTACTGTCGGGGTCTTGGACTGTCGGGATTTTGGAATTCGGGATATCGGGGTAGAACCAATAAGAAATCATATATATTTGGTCAAATTTCACCATTTAAAGTAATAAGTTAATTAAGTTTATGATTTGACAATTATTTAAAAATATTTATCTGCTCCGCTTAGAGTTAACAATTTTTATTTGATATTATTAAGCTCGATTTTTCACTTGACATAATAATTGTAATTTTGGTAAAGAATAACAAAATTCAATCAAACGTTATTATAATTCTGATAATCAATTTTAAAATTTAAATTAATTAATACATACTGTATTAGCACTAAAATAACTAAAATATTATATCTAAGTTTTGTTTAAACTATTATTTTATTACATAATAACAGTTAAGGAAATACAAACAGATATAAATTATTAAAAGTTTTCTCTTTTATCAATTTTATTAATAACTAAATAAAATATATTTTTTCTAATTACGAAATACATTTAATACACTTCTCTATAACTAAAATATATTTTTTGTAATCATATTTCTTTATAATTACTTGATTTTACTTTTTTAAAAGTTAATAATTATAAAAAGATTTGATATAATATTTCCAAAAATTGGGACAATTTAATACTATATTTTCTTTTATAATAAAAATTATATTATAATAATAAATGCAATTTTTATTATACTTATTTGCTTTAATAGATATTAAATAATATTTTTATTTATTTTTATAATAAAAAAAATTATGTAATAACTTAAAAAGTTTCAATAATAAAAAAATATCACAATATCAAAAAAATTTTAAAATAATTAACTTTTTATTTTAATTATATTACTAGTAATGAATTTCATTAAAATTTCGAAAACATATCATTTATTTTTTTTATTTTTTATTATATTTTTTTATTTTTAAGATATATAAATTAGAAGACTAATATTTTAGAAATCATATTATAAACTCTAGCCAAAATAATCTCAAAAATACTTTTTATTAATATATTAAATATATATATTTTTAATAATATTTTAAGTAAATTAATTAATTTTTAATTAAGTAAAAATTATTAATAATCTTTAAATTTTATTAAATAAGTTGAAATTTATCAAAAATTATTATAATAAATATTTATTATATTTATAATTCTTAAATCTTAATTTCTTAAATTTTTTTATACATCAAACTTATTAAAATTAGTATTAATATAAAAGAAAAGTTTATAAAATATTAATATTTAAAATATATATTTTATAAATATATACTTTAAATATATAAATTTAAAATTTTATTTAAATTTTTATAATAAAAATAAAATTTTATTATAATTTTTAAAAAAATCATATATAATGATGATCAAAAGTAATGTCTCAAAGGCTAAATTTATTAATAAAACATAGTTGAAAATTGAAATTTTCTCTTTATATTAAAATTTATAATTTTAATAAGAAAGAATTTTTATTTTTATATTAAAATAAAGTTTATTAGTTGTAGTTTAACATATATTTTTTTCAGATTTTTAGATTTTTTTCTGAAAGAGTTA